TGACAACTAAATATCATAAACAGAAGATCAAGTTATGTTAAGGATGTATTATATATTATATATATATAGGAGAATTTGGTTCAGTATAGTCATTGATGATGTAGATGTTACCAATTCCGGAATCCTAATCTCTAGTTATGATTCAATTAAGCATATGAGAATGATGTTGCCTTTAGTCCTTCTAGGCTTCATGCAACAGTTGACTCCTGTTAACATTAGATATTCCACCAAGACAACTTTTCTGTTAAAAGTTAGCCCAGAGCATTAAAAAAAAGTGTTATAACCACTTTCAGCTGGAATTCTTGTATGGAAATTGGGAAGGAATCTATCTGGGCAAAATAATTGAATATTTACTTCACGATATATTTAGTTTGTCATCTAAGGCATCTATGTTTAGGTTCAGCATTCCAGTTCGGCTATTAAGATGAAAAGTTGGGGAACAGGAAGTGTAGAGTGGAGAAAAGAAGAAAACAGTTGAACCATTAAATGAACAAAGCTAGATAATATCACTGACCATGAGGAAACAATGGATAGAATTCTCTTTTGGATCCTTTTGTCTTTTTTATAGCATAGGGAGTCGTGATGATTACTCAAGCCCATTTAAATGATGAAAAAAGGACTGCGAACACTCCATTAAAAATGTACTAGTTACAATAAGTTGAGGTAAAAAAATGCAAATTCGTTTTTTTTTTTTTTACTAAATGCAGTAGGGAAAAGAAAATCTTGGAGCTTTTTTTTTTTTTTTGGAAACTTGTTATTTATGTAGATTCTTATTTGACATATGCTCTGACTAACTATCTTTTCTTGGTCTTCATGGTGTCCTTTTCATTTAAAAGGATGAGGGAAAGTAATTTGCGTTTCTTTGATCCTTGGCACTTGATATATCAATATTTTGATATGTGGCTAAGAAATTTTCTTTGGCACATTTCTTTTTGCTTCTTCAAGTTTTCCATTTAGCATGTCTGTAATGTGAATATCTGGAAAATGTAAATGCAGGTCGATCCGTATTTATTACCTCAAGCTGCATTTCCATCGGGAGGGTTGTATTTCAAGAATGAGAGTAGGGTCAGGCAGACCAAAGGAATGCATGTCATTGTTCACAATTCTAATGATGGTGGCTTCGGTAATGACAATACGTTGTTCGATACTTCTATATCCTAGTAATCAACTTTCTTAAATTTCTATTTACTTAACCATTTCAAGGTGCACAATTTCACGCAAGATAGTCAATTGAACTACGAAAACATTTGTGGCATGATTACTTGTACCCAAGAACATAAAACACATCTTAGAATCATAACCAACATTAAGAGTAGTAAACCTAAACCATCTATTTTTTGGTTTACCAGTTATTTTTAAATTATTATTATTTATCTATTAGATTTTGTAATCTTTATAATTGGATAAGATATATATAATATAACTAATTACATTCTGATGAAATATATTGGTCAATACAAAAAAAGTCTCCTAATTACTTATCATAAACCTTATAAATAGATGATTACAGTATCTCTCTCAACTCTTTTCTCTAAACCAGAAATCTAGATGGTTCTATGAAAAAATAGAAAGAGAGAAGAATGATCTAATTCCTATGTCTTTGCAGATCAAATAGAGATCTTTTGGGATGATATCAAAAGGTATCCATCGTTAAATCATATCTAAGTATTTGATTTCAATCCTGACATAAAAGATTATTTTCGTATTTAATTCAGCATATTATATTGTCTTTACTAGTTATTTTTAAATTATTATTTACCTAAAAAAATGAGACATCATATTTCACTTTATTTATGCCTTTACGTACAGTGTCAACTAACTAGGGTGAAAAAAAAAAATCAGTTTTAGCTCTTATTTGATTAATTATTATGTGCAACCCAAATTGATACAATATCAAAAAGATTATAATAGTTTATTTATATCAAAATTAGTTGAGCCATTACATTATTTTCATTTGGTTAATTTGTAGTATTTTTTAACAATATTTATAATATTTTTATTGAGATATAAAAATATCATAAACATCATTGAAAAATACTATAAGTGACATTATATTATGTCTCTTTGATTATTATTATTATTATATGCAGATTATTATGATACTCTATTTTTAGGCTTATAGTTGGTTTGGTTGAATCTATTTGGATCAAAATAGATTTTATAATAAAAATATTATAATAAGTTAACTTTTTATTTCTATTTAGATGATATTATTCTTAAACTATTATACATATGTATCTGAATCCAGTAAAATATATCAAATAGCTTCTAATATGTTTTGATACCATTTAACTCATTTACAATATTTTTGTTATGGTGATCAAAATAATATAATAAATCAAAACATTGTAATGGACTAGAAAAGTACTGTGCTTTTTTATGAACAGTTTGGTATTTTTTTGAATCAGAATACTATTTGAAAAAAATCAGAGCATTTCGAAAAAAAAATAAATTAATAATTTGTTTTTAGAAAAATCGTCCAAACTTAGATGTTTTATATATGAAATGAGTTGGCACTTGGGACAGAGATGCCACATACATAGTTTACGTGTGGAAGCCGCTGCGAGACGATCAACCAAATCTCTTCCCAAACTTGTCGGCGGCTGCAATTAAAACATTCCTCACGCAAAGCGAGTACGTACCCTGGAAGAGCAACACCATATTAAGGCGTACCTGGTTATAGATAACAGGAGCCCGATTAGTGCGCCGAGCATTCCATCAATTCCTTATTCTTCGCCTGATTCGTTGGTGTAGGAGATTATGTAGGTGTTAAAAGTGCATAGATTGATGAGAACCAGGAGCAGGATTAAGAGGAAGAAGCAAAAGATCTGATCAAGCGCAATCAAGAGGAGGGAGCTCCATTAATGGCGGGAGAAGGCGTTGTCGTAGAAGCGACTATCAGTAGCACCACCGAGTCACTGCTATCTAGCAGGGTGTCGTATGCACGTTGCCTCTCCCGCGCTGACGATGAGCTTAGGAGCTTCCGGTTCTGCCTCAGGTGGATGTGCGTTGACCAGTCCGACGCTAAGCACGCAGTGGTCTCCTGGTCCATTTTCCTTCTCCTAAGCGTATTCGTCCCCATTGCCTCCCACTTTGTCTTTTCCTGTGCCCCCACCCGTCGCGCTTATGATGTGGTGGTTCAACTCTCTCTCATCTCCGCCTCTAGTCTCTCATATCTTTGTCTCTCCGCCTTCGTTCGTTGCTATGGCCTTCGTCGTTTCCTCTTTCTCGATAAGTTGGTCGGAGCTAGCGAGCGGGTACGGGAGGGCTACATGGATCAGCTCAATCGCTCGTTCCGCTTGCTCTCCGTATTTGTGATGCCGTGCTTTGCTGGAGAAGTGACTTATAAGATATGGTGGTATTCGTCGGGATCGGAACGGGTGCCGTTCGAGGTAGCGGGCAGCGTCGTGGTGGGCGACGTAGTGGCGTGCGCCCTAGAGCTAGCGAGCTGGATTTACAGGATGTCACTGTTCCTCTTCGTGTGCGTTCTTTTCCGGCTGATGTGCCACCTGCAGATCCTGAGGCTGCAGGACTTCGCTTCGGTGTTCAGGGAAGGGGGGCCGGAGTCGGATGTGGCGTCGGTGCTCGGGGAACACCTGAGGATCCGGCGGCAGCTCAGGATCATCAGCCACCGGTACCGGTCGTTCATCTTGTCTTGCCTCCTGCTGGTCACCGCCAGCCAGCTCGCGACGCTGCTTCTCACCACCCGTCCCCGGGCGGTGGTCAACCTCAACAACGCCGGCGAGCTCGCTGTAAGTGCCAAGGCTTGTCCTCCTCATCATTGACCGTCGTCGCGTTACCGTCGCAGCTACAACCGCAGTATGTGCTCATAGCAATTCCTTCTGTAGTTGTGCTCCATCGGTCTTGTGACCGGACTACTGATATGCCTTCGTAGCGCTGCCAAGATCACACACAAGGCGCAGGCAATAACCAGCCAAGCTGCGACATGGCACGCTTGCGCCACCGTCGAGTCCTTTGACGCCGAGCCTGAGACGTCATTTCCGCCAAACTGCAGCTCCGGCGACGAGTCTGATGACGACGATGACAAGGATGGGGACGTCTGGGATGTCAGAAAGATGATGCCTTCCAACATTAACACCATCTCCTTTCAAAAAAGACAGGCATTGGGTAAGAATTCTTACTCATCTCGATCATATGTCTATATCTCATTCTGATGGTGTTCTTCTTGCTGGATTCAGTGACATACTTGGAGAACAACAGGGCAGGGATCACGGTGTTCGGCTTCGTCGTCGACAGGGCGTGGCTTCATGCCTTGTTCATGATCGAATTCTCTCTAGTAATGTGGTTGCTGGGGAAAACAGTGGGGATCTCCTAGTTCTACTTGCTTAAAGAGAGATGCTGCTGCCGTAACACACACACACACACACATATATATATATATATATATATATATATTCCCACTTCCTTGTGCATAAGGGACGATTCATTCAAACATGTTTCTACTACTAGTTTGGGAGAGCAGTGGAGCTCTGCGTCAGACATATGATGAATGTTCCTTCTTCCTCTAGCTATTTTTTTTCCCTTTCTATTTAACTCTATAGTAAGCGGCATATTCCCTTAATGTATGTTATTAAATTTTGCAGATATTTACAGTGCTAGCGTTTTACGATCACAAGCTCTTTCTCAAATGGCGATGGATGGAAGGATCACTTGTTCTTTTTGTCTTCCTTGTAGATTAGAATTTGCGCTTATATTCGGCAGAATCTATTTCTTTTCCATGTGTTGATGAACTACTACTTGTTTCAAGCCCAGGAGTAAATCTCATATTATTATGATTTTAATTTATCTTTGTTATTGTTGTGCTTGTATCTGTTGACCGGTTTGACGGAGACTAGAACAATTAAAAGAAGACACGAGCTCTGTGGGACCCACCTGGGGTCTACCATCAAGCCATTTACGAGGCGGGTAGATATATGGGTGTCTGTAAAATACGCGTAGAAGAATTTCTTGAAATAATTTGGCAACGGTGTCCGGCGACCGGCCATATATGTTTTCCTAGCTTCCTTTGGTCCGTACACCACCGCTTTCCGATCATCGCCTCTACTCTTCCTGCTGCTCCCGTTCCCCTGCGATGGGCGGCTCGTCGGCGGGAGTGCTGGTGCCGTCGGTGTCGAAGGCGGACGAGATGGGGGCTTCGGTCACGCCGCTGGCGGTTTCGTCATCGGAGACCACGGACGTGGCCGGGGCTCCGGCCGCCGAGGGGGAGACGGTACCGGACGGATCTCGGGACGGCGCGGCGGTGGAGGCGGATGCCGAGCGCGACAGGGACCTGCTCTGCCCCATCTGCATGGGGGTTATCAAGGATGCCTTCTTGACGGCCTGCGGCCACTGCTTCTGCTACATGTGCATCGTCACCCACCTCAATAATAAGAGCGATTGCCCCTGCTGCGGAAATTACCTCACCAAGAGTCACCTCTACCCCAATTTCCTCCTCAATAAGGTTACCGTCCCATCTTAATTATATTTAGTTGTCTAGAATCCCGCTTGAAGCTGCCATTTTGTTTCATTGATTGTCACAATTAGTTAATCTATCCCATTGTTTGAGGAACAATCAATTGTTTCCTAGATTTTTATTTGCTTTACCTTCAATCATTTCTATAATAGGGCCGAATTCGTGTCTAGATTTAGCTACAGGGGTCCCTCCACCTTCGGTTTCAATTTGTGTTATGGTTATATGAGCGTCAAATGAAAACCACATATATAAGGATCAATTGTTGGTTGTTTCAACGGTTCATAGACGTGCTCTACGTAGTTATGTTCTTATTAGGTCAGAGTGGGAAAATGAAATGACTCAACCGTTCAGCAGCCTTCAGTGTGTAATTTTATAATTTCTTAAAAGTATCGGAAGATGAGCTTGAATGGCATGATAAAATTATATTTTCCACCATTCTGTAAGTAACTGTGGCAAGGAACCAAGCCAAGATCATCTGCACTTTTGATTGGTTGATTTGTAGTCCTACATATCATAACCCCATTTGTGAAGTTGGGTTTATAATTTTCATTACAACACGAAGCTAGTTCTTTGCAAAAGTAAGACAATATTTAATAAATAGGGGTATTTTCTTTTGAAGATAGTGGATGTCGAAAACTTTTTGCTGAAATGTTGGCTGTAATTTTGATAGTTGGAAATATGTGAGAAGGCTTTACACAATTTCTAACTGTTCAACTGGTGAAATTTCTTGTTGAATTGGTGACAATTTTACAGAAAACTGACCAACACATCTGGTTTAACCAGGTATTCCATTATCCCATGTATCCTCTAATTAGAGTAACCATTTATCACGACGTTCTGTCTAAACATGCATCGGGTAGATAATTTAACAAGCATACACCCATCCGCTATTATACCATTTCTTTAGAACAGATTAATTAGGAAGAGGATGGAAGGCATAACACCTGTAATTCTAGGATTTATTCCTCTTTTTCTTTCATGGGAAAACAAACGAGCCTTAAAGGCATACTTTGTGTTTGGCTGCTTTTGGTTCATCAATGTACTAAACAGCTAGCTTGTTCGAGAGGTGTAAGGTTGGAGCTGCATAACTGCTACATGTTATTGTTAGTTAAAGCCATTGCATTTCCTACATAATGACCAAGTGACCACTTAGAACCTTATCCAATAATATAATATTTAGCCAAATCAAGATTCAGATGATCAATTACCATGCATGCAGATAATGTCATAACAATTTGCTCCATCTTTATCCATCTATATACACTGGGACTGATTCACAGAAGAAACCTACTATTTAAACAAAAGAACATGATGGATGAATGTATATGGCTATGTTTCTCAATTATCTCTAAGGCACATGCTTAATTAGATAATTTAATCCTTTTTGAAATTTAATTGCTAGAAGAAGCATGTCATGCATATACCATTTTCTAAAAACTAGTCTATTCATCTGATTAGAAAAAACAAAAGGCTACACACTATGTAACCCACAATAAGGAGTATAGGTAATTTCACAATTAGCTGGTTAAAATACTTGAGGTTCTGCTATCTCCAATTAAAAGACTACTTGTTCTTTAGATTCCTTTTCTGTAACTAAGAATGTTGATACCAAGACTACATTGTTTTTGGGATTTTTCACATCATGATCCTGATGGAGACATAAAAAGTATATGAATGTAGTGGTCAAATAACATAGAAGATCCTAGGCAAGGGATCCAACTGATGTAATGTTCTACCTAGGCTAGAAGCCTAGAACTTTGGCAATTTTGCTAACATGAAATGCCTTGACAATTTTGAGTGAGCTATAGATATAAATCTTGTCAAATTACATTATGCTCGGAAAGTTCTCATTACAAAATGCTTTGACTCTATGCAAGGAACATGAACATGGCGAAAATTTGGGAGATGTGCAATGACACAAATGATCATTATATCTGCTCTTAGCAATATATAACTTTATAAAATCACCCAAAAAAATTATTTACTGTTTATAAATTGATAGTTTAGATTTCGACATGCATGAATTCATGCAATTGTATGTCAGTAAATTTGTTGACACGTGGTCATAACCTATGCTTCTGAAGCTCATTTATCAGCTATGCTGTTGCCCAGATTCTTTGGTAGTTGCCAATAACAACTGTGGCTGAAATGACTAAATGGCATCAAATGATCCTTTGTACTTACTTATTGGTTGGCTTAACCATTGGTAAGCTTGGAATGCTGTTATTATAGTATGTGTTTCACACTTAGTAGTTGCTCTGTCATGTTCCTTAGTTTATCATATGCCAGTGTAGACAGCGAGACATGTTCCTCAGTTTATCATATGATAAATTTCATCCGTATTTTTGAGCCACATACAAATCTAATGAATGCATAGAGCAATTTTATTTTAAAATAAATGTCTTGAGTATCTTCATCCAGTATTTATGCTTGCTTTATATCATGTCGTTCAGCTGCCAATATCATGGTAAAGCTTATTATTATATTTGTTCTTTAAACACACAGCTCTTGAAAAAGCAATGTGTCCGTCAAATTGCAAAATCAGCATCACCTATTGAGCATCTTCGTGTGGCATTGAAACAGGTCAATTTTTTTCTCCACTAAATATTACATGTTATGTCAATGCCTACTAAATAGTAACCATCATGCAGATGTTTCCATGCATAATTTGGTTAGTTATTGAATAATTGCTGATTTATCTATTTGTATTATTTAATATTTGTTTATGTTCATCATCATATATGAGTATTTCTTTGTTTTGTTTTTCAGACCTAAAATTTTCTCAGTTATGCTGTATTATTAAGGTTTCAGCATGATATAATTCGCCAAATTTTCTTATAACCTTTTAGTAGAATGAGGTCACTTTACTCTATTTTGGTGATTATTTGTTTTTAGCTTTATAATAACCTTGTTGTTTAATTTCAGATAAACGATCACACATATGTATCAGTGCATGTCTAGGTATCACAGAAAATTATACGATCCAGCTCATATTTTTATATTGTTGAAAGGTTTATTGTTCGGCAAAATTGATGGATTAAATGAGATTTGATAAATGTTTATTAGTCTGCAAAATTTTGAAACTATTTCTGATGGAGTTTTTGTATCTCATTCTCTCCTACAGCTGAAGTTGTCTATATGTAATAGGGCTGTCCAATATATTTCCTTCATTAGTCAAATAATTGATCTAATTCTCCACTACTTGAAAGTATCATCAATTTTTGAAGGCCCTATATATTATCACTCCTGTCTTTTTGTTGATCAACTCCATTTTTTGTTGGTTAAATGGTTTTGTATGGCTTTTGAGCAACTCAAGTATTAGTCCTTCTTCATTTGCTATCTCTTCATTGTCTTCTCAATGATGTGTATTGTGTGTGTGTTTGTGTTAACAGGGAGCATCAATTTGCTTCTTGTTCATTTTTCTTCTAAAATCCAAATTAATCTTCAAAATACCATTATAAATTTGAAAATATCTAACTAAAAATCGATGAAGATGTCTTCAACTTCCAGGACATAAAGATTACATCAATGGCTCCTAATAAAGTCTTTGTTAATTTACTAGGATTATGTACCAACTGGATGCAAATGTTTAAGACAAGGATGGCATAAAATGTAACAAAATTTTGTTGGAAATAATCACTTCTAGAAAACTTTTGCTTTTACTAAATTTCAATTCCTCCGTCTTGGCTTATTGTTCTGAAATAATGAGACCATTCCATTATTAGTTCATGTACCTTTACGTCTGCATTTTCACCACACTTGGAGTCTAAGCTGTTGGACACTTGCCTAGCACTCTGTCTTTTCACTTGGTATGTTTTTTTTGTAATTTTTGTCAAGGTAGATCTTGGATATTTACAGAAATGAGACATCATAGGTTTCTATATTTCATTTAGTTAAATTAAGATGTTGATTGATTTAAAAGTGTAAATTATAAGAGATAAGTAGTAGAAACAAGGGGTAATATTCGAAATCAAGTAGTAAAATTTCATGCATTAAAGGATGTTGTCTAGAAAGTCAGGTGGAACACTTGCTGGTCCTCACTTCCATCTGCCACATGTTTTGGTTGATGAGATCAGGAGTCTAGATTGGATACTTTGATCTTGCTTGACATGAATTGGGTCAAGGAATACTCTTTCTTCACTTCGTCAAGTGAAAATATGTTTGCATTTGGCTGATAGTTTTCCCTCTCTGATGAAAAGAAAGTAGAGAATACAGCAGAAGACAGGCAAGGTAAGAAGTCTGTGTTATTGGTGTGCACTATAACCTGAGCAGATAATTGATTTCTAATGCATAAATAACTTACAGGTTCTGTGCCACTGCTTATATTATGATAAAAGGCATTTAAGCACCTTAATGATCCTAGGCACTGCCCTGTGGAGCACTTCTCGAGACATTAATTCTTAGCTTTTATCATCCATAGAACATTCACAATGATACATTTCTTTTTCTTGGCAAGTAATTGCTTGATTATTAAGCTGTCGGAACATATTCCTAATTAACCATATATCAATTTAATATAAATGTCAACTTATTTGAATTGGAATCTTGAGCAGCTGTGAAAATGCAGTTGATCATCCCATCAGTTTAGTAGCATCAGAAACTGTGACTAAATTACCTTTTTACCTATCAAATCTTTCAACATTTTTTTTCCTTCTTTTTGTTAGGTTTGATAACTTTAGGACTTCATATTCTGGTAAGTGATTGCCGAACAAGGTGTGATTTTTTTTTTTTTTTGTTCAGATTGACATTGTGCATTAAGCTTCCATGAGAGGCTTCTGAAACCATATTTACTAACATCACAATTTGGTTGGTACTGGTATGCATCACAACTCATTGTGTGAATTTTGAATAGACATCATATGTTATACATATGCTCATTTTCTGTAGACTCTTACTAATAAGCAACCTGTTTTTTCTTGGAGGATGTTTTGATCATTTTGCAATCCTGTGATGTAGAATTCATAGGTACATCTTGTTAGTTATTGCAATTGTCCTGTTAATATTACAGGAATTTTGCTGCTCATGAAAGTGATATAACATCCTCATAGGCTGTTGTCTTTCTACTTAGATGGTTCTTCTTCTAAACAGGGATGTGAAATGTCAGTTAAGGAGCTTGATGGTCTGTTGTCTCTTCTCAGTGAGAAAAAGCGGAGAATGGAGCAACAAGAGGCTGAGATGAATATGCAAATTTTGCTTGACTTTTTACACAGTCTTAGGAAAAAAAAGCTGGAAGAGCTGAATGAGGTGGATCATATTAATGTGTTTTGTTCTTGTTATGAAGGCTTTTTGTACTTCCATTAGTATAGTTTTTTCTTATAAAAAACTAGCTCAAACAAATTTATTTTGATTGGATGAATTGTCTTTGATGTTTGTATAACAACTAAATTATCTCAATGTGAACAAATCCTTATAGAAGCATGTCGGCATATTTCAGGTTCAAACTGACATGCAATTCATCAAAGATGATATAAATGCAGTAGAGAAACACAGAACAGAACTGTACAGGGTGAGAGAGAGGTACTCTGTCAAATTGCGCATGCTTTTCGATGATCCAATTCCAACAAAATTGTGGGCTCCCACTGCTGACCAGCATAACAGCATACTTATCTCGAATTCTCGAAATTCTCGAAGCTCTCTTGTCAGGACAGGCTCTGATAATTTACAGATTAGGAGTAATGATGTGACAGCTCAACTAAACCATCAAGAGCACCAAAGAAAAGATGCTTTTAGTGGTTCTGAAACAAGTTCCCTTATTCAATCAGGAAGAGTCATAGCAAGAAAGAGAAAAATTCAAGCACAGGTTAGTGTGCTAAGTTGATAAATTTTATTGGAAATTGTCAACATCTTAGACCAGGTTGCTGGTTTTGAATCTCCTTTGAGGGTTCTCGATGATTCTTCTAGTTGGAACTCTCCTTGTGCACATGAATCTACTTCTATGGTGATAATTTCTCAGTAGTTAGAGACTACTACTTTTATATTTATATTGTATTTCATAACTATTTGATAAATGTACTTGTATTTTATGTAGCTTATTGTTGTACCAGTTTATCACTCACAATTATAATTTATTTGATAAGAAGTGAAAATGTGTCTTCATTTGGCATGCTTGATCTTTCATTTTTTACCTCAAATTTTTGTTTTTCTTAATTGTTAATGTGTTCTGATTCTTTTTCACACTTACTAGTAGCAGTCCATAGACAGTCATAATCTTGATAAAAGCATTAGCATGACTCATCATTTGTGTTAATCACTGCCATAATAAGACTTTCTATTGACAATGATCCTTTTCAATCCATCTACAAAGGTGCTAACCTTCTCTTTTGTCTCCAAAAACATATAGAACCATTAAGTATCTTTTATGATGCCTTTTTATGACTAATCTTTTTAGCAAATATTATAACTATTACAATGAATGAGGATCCCAGCATCTCCAATCTATTTGATGTTGCATAGGTGAAATCAAGGTTTCTAATACCATCCGGTACAGTGTGGTATGGGTGGTGCAAACTGAATGGTTTGAGCAAGGTATAAGCTGTACCACACTGTATGGGCTTGAATCCGAAAACATAGTTATTCTTTTTAATCTTTCAGTTTTTCTAGGTTTTTTTGAAACTTGATATGTACTGACATACTTACACACGATACAATAGTATAGGTCTGGTTCCAAAATTAAAAAACAATGGGTGAAACTATGGTTTTTCCCATGAGAATTTAATTCGATTAAGGCTGAAACCGAACAAGGATAATGCTTTAATATGAGCTGATCCCATGGATTGAGATTAGTTGTAAATATAAAAGAGCCAAGCATTTGTTCTGAAAAGTTGAGAAAATCATATAGATGACTAATTTGAAGGTGTTATCTAGCTTAACTGTTAAAGACTTTGACAATATATCGCAAGGTCCTAAGCTCAAATCCCGCCTTTGTCACTTACCCTCTGCAAAAAAAAAGAAAAGAAAAAAGTAATTACTAAGAAGAAATAGGACAATGAAGAATTAAGAGAAAGAAATTCTCCAACATACACATAAAGTTTATATCATTGAGATGAGAATGTTCAGGTGGTTGTGTAGAATTACTAGGAAGGATAGAAAAGCAATTTGAATAATTAAAATGAGGGAAAATTATTTAATATGATATCGACATGTGTTAAAGAGGCGGTCTTGTAGTTTGAAGGTATGAGATAATTTATATTATTGATATGAGGAGATGTAGAGGGAGACATAAGAAGATCTTACTATAAATTATAAATATATATTTAAATATTCTTAATTTAACTAAGGAGGTTACTTTTTACAAAGCTCAATGATGGCAAGAGATACATACAGTCGACTCCTAATAGCCAATATATTACAAATTGTTATTGTTTTTATTGTTCCATAACATCATCTTTAAAAGTTCAATATATTTCTCAAACCTGTAACCAGTAAAACATGTGTAGCTAGAAACAACATCTACATCTTGCAAAATTTGATTCCTAAGGATTTAACAATGGTCCTAGTCCAACTTTTACCTAAACTAGGACACTTGGAGAACAATAGAACTGAGATTGGACTCTTATTTGTCCATTTAGAGTGGCCCCTAAAAATAAGGATAAGCTATGAAAGTCATCCCAACCTATACCCAAGTCTTTTCAAGCTTTTTGCAATCAAATTCCTCTTAAGACCCTACTTGAATCCATCATTTGTTACATATGCTCTTGCATCATTTGTCACTGTAATGAGCGCTTGCTTCAACAAACTGACTCTAAGAGCTTCATATGAAATAAATGATGCTCTACCATTCAGATAATGAAATTGTGAAGAGTGGATTTTGTTTATGGTCTAAATATAAAAAATTCTCTTTTGTGTCAGTGTTGATTGGGCAGAAATATTTTCCTAATACCGGATAAAAAATAATGCTTTTCCTTTAACATAACATTTGTTTTAGTTCCCTGGTTGCTAGGTTAGCATCAAGTATGAATCAAGTTAATCTGGCTCCTGGATTTATTAGCAAAAGGGATCCCTGAACTTAATTGTAATGAGTTCTCTTTTTTGTATGTTTTGGCCAAGGTTATAAATGCCAGTCGGACTGGGTAAGTACCCATTATTTTCTGGCCCAATCAAATACTGGTATAGGATCAGTAAGCTTGATACTGGTACAATGCTTATTTTCATTATTTTATTCAATGATACCAAGCAGTACAAGTTAGCACACTGCTCTGTCTATCTGTACTGTATTAGTCTGATAAATTTTTGAAACAGGAGTTGGATTGGCATTTAAAAGTTAAAACCTCAGTTTTATTTCCTCAACATGTTAGGTCCATAGTTATAACACCTGCATAATATCATTTGCTTTTTTAATGTCACAAAAAGTTTGAAAAGATTATAGTTATGTAAAACTGTTTGTTTCATCTTTCCTATTTACTAAAATCTCTTTGTGAACATTATATCTAAAGTTTTTTCTTTTAATCTGCAGTTTAAAGAGCTTCAAGAATGTTACTTACAAAAGCGGCGTCTTGGAGCTAGTCAATCACATCATCCAAAAGAAAAAGTAGATGCCAAAGTCAGAGAAGGCTATCATGTGGGTCTTGAGGACTTTCAGTCTATACTAACTACATTTACTAAATACAGGTTATAGAAACAATCCTTGGTAAATGATCAATGTTCTATAAGTTAGTACTCATCGCAATGATGAACTTGTTATCAAAATATAACTCTTTATGTTATTATTTTTCTTTTGTGGGTTTTGTTTCGTTTTTGATGCAAATGTTTGTGTTGACTCAGTCGGTTGCGTGTTATTGCGGAACTTAGACATGGAGATCTATTTCATTCAGCAAATATTGTGTCAAGGTATGTAAGGCATAAATGTTGATCTTATTATCTTTTGTTTATTCCTAACATGACTTGATCCATACCATATGATACATGGATGCTTGAACCCTTTGAATGTAGATTTTAATTTCCAAGAAAGAGCCGAACCTTGTTGTCATTGCCGTCTTTGTCATTGTTGTTGCTCTCCTTTTTTTTGTGCTTTCTGTCTGCCCATCTTCTAAAATTAAGTTAATGCAGATGATCTTTGGCAAGTTGGTGAAAATGCTAAAAAATGAATCTTACAACCTATTTATGTCAGAAGTTTTAATTTTACCATACAAATGTATATAGGAGATTGATGTCCTCTCTTTCTAAAGTGGATTACATGCCACCCTTCTTTAATTAAATCTGAAGCAGCAAATTTGATTGCACATATACATAATCCTTCTCTACTCTCATATTTAAGAGACAAAAGGTTGCTAGAACACCCATGAATTACTTAATATATGAAAATATAAAGATCTAGAACTGAATTAATGTCAACAAAAGTGACCAGTCAGCTCTGCTGAAGATGGACTTTCTCATTCTCCCCTTGTACTCGTATGAGGTTGTACTTCTTATACAGTTGTTTGATTCATTCTTGATATATGATCTGAAGCATCCCCTTACAAAATTTTTTTGATACAGCATCGAATTTGATTGTGATGATGAGTATTTTGCCACTGCTGGTGTTTCCAAGCGAATTAAAGTATTTGAATTTTCCACTGTAAGTTATATCAAGTACTTCTGCCTTTAAAATGCATTGGCCTTGTAAATGCTTAATTTTGATCAATTATAGTTCATTTTGTTATATGCAGGTTTTGAATCAGCCATCAGAGGTAAATTGCCCTGTTGTAGAATTGGCCACTCGGTCCAAACTTAGTTGCTTGAGTTGGAACAAGTATTCAAAAAACGTTATTGCAAGTAGTGATTACGAAGGGATAGTAACTGTTTGGGATGTAACCACTCGCCAGGTGCTACGTCGATTCACTATAGAAAATTTCTGAACTGTGATACAGTAATAGTAAATGATTTATACCTTGTGGTGGAGCTAGGAAAAAATCTTATGAGTTCTTTTTCTTTTTTCCCAGAGCATAATGGAATATGAAGAACATGAAAAAAGAGCATGGAGTGTTGATTTTTCACGGACAGAACCATCGATGTTAGTTTCTGGTAGTGATGATTGCAAGGTAACTTCTAACCCAGTAAAACTATTTTACCAACAGAATTGCTCCAAAAGAATTACTAATATAAGATTTTTTAGCACTTAATGATTCTCTTTCATTTTCTTTGTTGGCACTCATTCTCAACTAAGTATAGCCTTTCATATGCTGTTTACCATTTCTTAAGATGATCCCTTTATCTGAACCTCTAGTTTAGAATTATTGTTTTCAGATATGAAGTTGTAATGAACATTCATTGGAAACTGTTTGTGATGTCGATAGATATGGAAAACCGATAATTTACTTAAAGTTTTTGCAATCTTTAAATTCATCATATTACATTGTTGCTCAGCTGTTCGAATTGTCTGTCAGACATTACATTGTCTGAATCAGTTGTCATTTGATATGCCTGAATCTACAGTTGAAACTGGAAAGAACGGTTTATCTCCTGTTGATCAATGTTCACAGGACTGGGATTGATTCTAGAATTGGTCAGATTGTTCTGATGGATCAGATTCAGTGAAAATTTAATTTCAAAGTGAAACTAAAAGTTAAAATACCAAATTTGAAGTAAATAATGAGTTAATTGTTTTAATTTCTGTATATATCACAAAAATAAAAAAAAGGTCCTCACATGCAGTAACATGAGCCTGTGATCTCTCTCGCACACCCCTCCTCGCGCTGATCTCTCTCTCTCATAAGTGTAGGCAATGTAGTAGTGGGGATGGACAAGCGTACCCTCCTATCCTCTTTTCTCGTTCTTCCTCCTCACCGCTTCTCTCTTCCACCATCCTTCAATTGTTTCCAGCAAGTGTAGCAAGACACCAAAATCAACGAGCTTTCTCTGTTCTTTTTGTTCTTGTGTCTACCTTTTCCTGCTTTAGTAGTAATAACATATTTGCGAGTCACCAAAATAGTCTGAACTGGCAGATTTTGTTATGCATTGGTCAGCCTATTTTTTGCAGTAAGGCCAAAAAATTAGTCAACATTAGGTGACCTTGGCACATCTTGACACAGATCAGCCAGATTGGATTGTGATAAGATGATGGGGTCATTTATTGCATATGCATGAAATGAACTTCCACAGGAAATTTAGACTTTTGCTTTCAAGTTATTGCATTGGCTGGAAATTTTGATCTTCAGATGCTTGGAATGAGTTTTATGCCCTGTTATAACATTATATCAGATCATCCATGTGCCTGTTTTATATAATTGTATTTTGGTTAACCGAATTTGATGAGAAGAGGCATTTAAATAGATGACAATGACAATGGTGATCATGATGATAATGATGGTCGTCAGTTTTCACTTGCATTGTGTCAATTGAGCTATAGAACTTTGCATGCTATCCTGCAATATGTGTTTGGATTTACTTAGTAAGCACATGCTAATTAGTTCAACCTGAGTTTATGAGAGAAAATGAATGGGATAGTGGGGTTGCATCATACACATTATCCTTGTCACAAGTGTGTTCTCTATTATGTTATGTTTGGTTGTTGTTACATTTTGATGTATTGGCACTATGCATCATATTAAAAGTTGTTTCCTGATTTTGATAAATTTATGTTGAGTTTATGGATGTTTTATCTTCATATGCACACCAGTTAATTTGAGCTCATCATGATGATTAATTAACAGAAAATTAATTGGACATCAGGGTAGGGACTTCATTAGGTACTTTATATCAAGATGGTGTTTTGGGTGTATTCACCATATTGTCTTGATGACATCCTTCATGTGTTCCATTTTTCTTGTGACAACTAGGTCAAGGTGTGGTCCACAAAGCAAGAAGCCAGTGTTATCAATATTGACATGAAAGCAAATATATGTTGTGTCAAATATAATCCTGGATCTAGCGTTCATGTTGCAGTATGTTTTCAATCACCCTTGTTTACCTTTTTCAGCTTGTTGTCATTTCATTTTATGAATACTCTTTTCCAGGTTGGTTCTGCTGATCATAAAATTCACTATTTTGATTTGAGAAACACTAGTTCTCCACTCTGTGTCTTCAAGGGGCATTGGAAAGCAGTATCATATGTGAAGTTCTTGTCCACAAATGAGCTTGCATCTGCATCAACAGACAGTACATTGCGATTATGGGATGTAAATGGCACATGTCCAGTATGTTGATATGTTCTACTGTCATTATCCTTTATCTCGTAGCTTATTTAAATTCATAATATTGTATCCAAGGATTTAAATCTTGATATGATACCTGTTTCAGTAATCTACCATACTTGTATAGTATGTCAGAACTCAGAAGGGTATGCTGACTTGTATTGTCTGGTATCACCCAAAAAGAAGAAAAAGAATACCAAGGAGTACCAGATCATATGGCTCGATACCAGTCCTTTGTCGGACAAGTACATACGTACTGATATTTGAAACCAGACTATTAACTTTGATAGTATACTTCTTCAGTTTTTGGTTCATAATTTATTGTTATCTGATAATCATTGGAGTTGCGAGTAGTCTTTTTGATTCTTACATCTCCAAGCCATAAACATTTATAAGAATATTTCTTTTGTATTTATGAACTCCTAGGTTATACACTGTGATGTACGTTAGATAAGATGTTTCCATTACATCAGTCTTCTATCTTTGATGGACTTGTCCCTTTCAGAATTTCATTCAATAGGAATGACATTTCTAAAGACCAAGGACTGCAATTTTGACCGAAATGGTATAGTACAACCAATATTTACTGGTCTGGCTGCTACTCGGTTCACGGACCAGCTACAAACCAGTAGTACAAGGTGTACCACCCAGTACAGCCTTGGTATGGGTGGTAACAGTTGAAGTTGAAATTTGACTCTTATACTGTTCCTTATGATAACCTTGATCATTATGCATGCAATTTGTTGATAATTATCTTTCATATGTTCTATGATCCATCTCTCAAGTAACCGTCATGATTTTATAGGCCTCCTCTAATATGTGTGTATATATTCTTCCATATAAATCTATGAAGCTGCTTTTATGTTGTTTGCTTGGCTGAATGCTTCCTGGTTTCCTGTAATAATGATTTTGAGAGAACATGGATCAGTACCTGCCTAATGACTTTTGTCCTCTATTTAATGATTCATTCAGGTGCGCACTTTTGTAGGACACACAAATGAGAAAAATTTTGTGGGCTTGACAGTGAACAACGAGTACATTGCTTGTGGCAGTGAGACAAACGAGGTTTGTGTGTACCATAAGGTGAGCCAAACTGGCTATGCTGGTTTTGACTGTCCAAACATAGTCCCAATATTCCCTACACAATCGTTAGTCTGGTCCTTTTCACTCTGCTGCATCTGTCCTTTGCCATCAGATCTCAAAAACCAACACTTATAATTGCAGGCTATCTTGACGCCAGCCGCACGACACAAATTTGGATCATGGGATCTTGATGATGCGGAAGATGATGCTGGTTTGTATTTTATTAGTGCTGTTTGTTGGAAGAGTGACAGTCCTACAATGTTGGCAGCCAATAGCCAGGGGACCATCAAAGTTCTTGTATTAGCAGCTTAGCCACAGATGATAAAAGATGCCGAAAGTTTCAACAATGCCTTTGGCAGATATCTGTGTATTCACTCCTAGGTTAGGTTCTCTCTTCCCAGTTTTCTCCAGTGATCCTACTTGGTCTTCAAAATGGTTTTACGACCGTTGGTACATGCCTCGGCTTAAGTTTTCTTTATACATTATTTGCAGATTTGTACATAAGTATAATAGGTGGAAATGCAGTAATCACAGTTGATTATTTTTCTTCTTTTTTTTTTTTTTTTCCAAAAAATGCTAAAAAATGCTGTGGGAACTTGTAAGGATGACCTTTCATAGATTGGGTCTTGCAAATCTAAATCAATGAGTTAAAAGCATCGGTGCTGTGCTTTGCCTTGTGGAGATTAGATGTCTTTGCAATGGAAGGTTTGTTATGTTACATGTTTTATGAGCTTGGGGCTTTAAATTTGTAGGAGGTTTTTACATTTGTAAATTTGTAGGTAGACAGGGAGAATTGCAGTATGTTCACATATGTATTGCTTTAAATATGTAAAAAAAAAGAAGAAAAAAATCATTTAATTTATGTAGTCTTGGTGACACGAGGAAACAAATGCATTGTGGTGTCTTGGTGAGTAAGATGAATCAATTGGTCCCCTTGTTATAAGAAGACATCCATTCATATATCCATATCATGCATTGTAGTTCATTTGGCCTTTTTTATGTACCTCAGCTACATGTTGGTGACTACATGCCAAATTGCCATGGGATTAATCTTCTTCCACCACTACAATCACAACACGTGAAAGCAAAGATCGAGCAAGTTCAACATATTCGAATTATATTGCCGTGATGTCCACGCATCTATTATTTTACTTTCTCACGCGACGAACTACTCGAATAGATCTCCTATAACATGATGCATTGAGAGAAACTTGTGTATCATCGCTCACAATCTTCTTGTGGACTTCCATGTGGAGTTTGTGACGTTGAGCTGCGAGATTGTAGTGTGCAGCGAGGGCAAAGTCCATGCATGATCCGGTGGACGGCGGTGCGCCGAAGCTTCCGAGAACTAAATCGAGTTCACGCGCTCTTGGTCGTCCAGGCTAACTCCGACGTACCGGCCCTCGGCTTGCTCTTGCTCTTGGCCGCCTCCTCTTTCCATGGCCACGGCATCATGGAGTATGCCTGCAAGTCGTTCGCGCACACAGCGAAGCCTGACCTGTTCATGTGGAACACCATGATCCGCTGCGCCGCTCGCAGGCCGCGTCCCTCTTCCCGTTCAAGGCGTGCGCCAAGCTGTCGTCGGCGACCGCGGGGGCGTTGTTCCACGCTGCGCGCGTGAAGCTCGGGTCCGAGTCGGATGCCTTGTTAAGGAACGCTCTGATCAACCTGCACGCCCGCTGCGGGGATTTGGCAATCGCCATGGTTCTCTTTGAAGTGGAACCAACTTATCTCTTGTGATCAGTGTGATTTTTCTTCTAATTTAAAGCCCCTACATCATGTATTCTAAGTGGAACTATAGTCATGTTTGGGGGGTAAGTAAGAGGATAAGGTCACTCTAGTTTCCTCGTAGATTAATGATCTTGAAGCTAAGGAGGGTTAGTTGGGTGGGTCTCTTTGAGGCTGAGGAATCTCAACTCTCCTGTTCTCATAATCATATTCAAGCTTTTGCTTATACGGACGAATTTTAGAAGTTGGGCTTTAGCTAATCAAATGGATCACTGACGATGATCGAAATACCAAGTATTATCAAAATCTGATTTTTATTAGAAGAATTAATTGTATCCCATGTCTTAAACTTAATAATAATGAATTAATGGTTGACCAATGTGAGACCACCGAGGCCTTTGTTGACCAATGTGAGATCACCAAGCTAGTGATTCCCTTGTCAATTTTTTTTTGAAGGCAAGAAGCTTGGGATGGATGCTATTCCTTGGGATATGAAAAAACGTTCGTCCTAGTGCTTTCACAATTGAGTTTTACATGAGTGGCTGGAATACTATTACTGATTAGCTTACTGATTGAGCTAACACCCACTTTGTTGTTATTCCTAAATGATTTTTGTTATAAGATTTTCATTAAGATGATTGCTAATATGCTTAAACCTATCTTATCTTAAATGTGTAATTTGTTTTCATTTTTGATAGAGGCATCCGAGATAATATCCTTATTGTCCTCCCGGAGATTGTTCATTCTTTTTATATTATGATTCTAACGGAAAGAATCTTTTTCTTCTGTTAAAAATTAATTTATAATATCCTTATTGTCCTCTTGGAGATTGTTCGTTCTTTTTATGTTATGATTCCGACGAAAAGAATCTTTTTATTCTGTTAAAAATTAATTTAAAATCGGCTTACGATATATTGTCATGGGAGACTATTATGAACATTTTAAAGATAGTAAAGTTTCTTCGATAAATTTATCTCTTGGATTATATCTTGTATTTTCTCCCCGATTTCTCTTGTATCATTAATGGGGAACCTTCCTTAATCCCCTATCTATATATTTTGGTCTCTTAATTGCTTATACTTAACTAGGTTGATGATTTTTAAAAACTTAAATCTTTTTCATTTTAAACATAGAGTTTGAATATCCCATTTGATATATGTTGATGCCATTTTACTATGTTTTAGAGTTATTAAAAGATCTTGCCAAGCTATCATTGATATTTTTAAAATTTATAATTTCTAATGAATCAAAGGATTAATTTCTTAAAAATAATAAAAAAAATCTTCTTTCGGTGTCTTATTTATACTAATATTAAGCATGAGATTTGTAATATTCTTGAGGTGAGAGAACAATCATTCAATTTCAAGTAATTGGGCTCGTAAATCTCTCCCAAAGGACTTGCGGCCTCTGCTTTTGAACCTAAGTTGCAAAATCAGGTATCTCTTTCTTTAGTTCAAGGCTTTTGTTATATGTTATGGACTGTCGGGTCTCTCTTTTTTTTTAGTTCAAGATGGTAGGTCTATTAATGTTATAAGTGTGACAATTAGGTGTTTAACATTCTTTTTTCATTCAAACCTATTTCCTTCGATCCTGATTTACTAGACTTGGATGTTTCTATTAGTTGTTTCATTACAAACAACAAATTAGATTCTGATTTATTATTGTGCGGTTTTGGGGTTGAGGTTTATTTTGATGGTTTCTGATTTGAATTTGGTTTTGTTTCCCCAATAAGGATAGGTGGATTTGAAAATATGACCCAAAAGGACAATCAATCTCTAGGGTTGTCAATAAGTGTCTTATTACCTTACCCAACCCAACCCAACATGCCTGTGGTGATGTTTCTTGTATTGATTTGAGTTTGTTTTGGAAATCTTAGGCATGCCATGTGGATCGTCGCAAGTCCAGGAGTTTGCCGAAAGTCCGTCGGGCATCACCGAGGGTTCATCGGATGTTCGCCGGAAGCGATTGATGCACCGAAGCAAGTTGCAGTAAATGTCTTAAGAAATATCGTAGTTAGCATGTAGATTAAGCAAGGAATGGGAGGTGATCCCATTATCTTAATCTGGGGGCAATTGGGCTCTTGACATACCCAAATTGGGCTAAATGGATCAGCCCATTCAGACCTAGATTTTTTGGCCGACGGTGGCACCGCTTGGATCGACGGTGGCATCGCCCAGGAGCTTAGTCTCCCAGGAAAACTGGGCGGTGGAACCGCCCCAGTCAGGTGGTGGCACCGCCAGAGCTCGGTCTCCGAGCTCTGTCAGGCGGTCGTACCGCCTAGTTTGGAGGTAGTACCACCAGGACCCCAAAAATTCGGGAGATGATATTTTTGAGCTCCAAATTCAAACCAATTTGGGGCCTATATAAACCCCACCCTTTCCTGCATGAAAGGGCACCGAAAATCCAATCTTATTCTGTAATTTTTAGAGCTCAAAAGTGTTGTAAAGGCTAAAAGTTCTCCTCCCTTTTTTCTTCCAAGTTTTGATCTTTTAAGAGAGGAGAGAAAATTCTGTAAGGGTTGTCTCCTAAACCTGTCAAAAGGAGTGAAACTGTAAAATGGTGGTTGGCCTTCGCCTATTGAAGGAAGGCCTCTAGTGGACGTTGGTGATCTCATCGGAGGAGGAAGCCAAAAGTGGATGTAGGTCAAGATTGACCGAACCACTATAAATCTTGGTTTGCATTTACTTTCTGTTTTCTATCTTTACTGCAAACCTCCATATGCTTTACTTCCTTATTACTTTTGATGCACTCCTTTACGAACTTGCTTTCAAGTTAAGTTTCCGAAAACGGTTTTACGTCGGAAACGATTTTATCGTACGAATGCAGTTTTAATCCTCGTAAGTTTTTCGCTGCACTAATTCACCCCCCCTCTTAGTGGTCTTGATCCTAACATGTATATTTATATATGTATACATATATATACATATATTTATATATGTATACATATATATGTATATATATATTTATATATATATATACATATATATATATATGTATATATATATATATATATATATATATATATATATATATATATATATATATATATATATATATATATATATATATATATA